ATTTATGGGCTAATTTTCATTTTTGGGTGAACTAACCTTTTAACTTTAATTTCATTTCCATTATTTCTTTTTTTATGGTTTTAGTTAACTATAACAACCCTGAAACAGAAAATATTGCCCTCCAAAAAAGGAAGTAGTAAGACATAACAAAAGAAACTTCTGAAAATAACCATTATTCACCTAATATGGCTTCTTCTTGCAGGAGATCTGTGTGTGTCGAACAGAGAGCCCTTGCTCTGCTTCCTGTTCACTGGCTCTGAGAAAACAAATGAAACGCATTCAAAAGGCAAAATCATTCATTAAAATAGCCAATAATTGCATGGCATGGAAACATCTGAGGGTCATAAGGATGTTTTAGGTGCTCAAGCAAGTGAGTATGAATGAAAACTGTCTGAGCATAGATGCCGTGTCTGGAGAAAGTACCTATTGGGGGTGCTTCATATCGCTGCACAGTTTTACGCTGCCTGAGGTTATAAGGTCTGTCGTTCTCCTCTCCAGCCTCTTCTGCCTCATCTCCTTCATCGTCTTCATCATCATCAGCCTCCACATCTTCATCCTCCTCTCCCTCTTCGTGAGACTCTTAAAAAAAAGAAAGAAAAGAGAACTCTTTAGAACGAACAACAAACTAAACTTTTTCATCACAGTTGGAAATCGAAAAATGGCTTATATTTAGAACTTCTGCAATGGAAAAGCACTTTTACGCTTAATTTTTTCGTGGGACACATCACTTTCTTCACAAATGAAATATAATATAGGTTTAGGACAGATCAAGAAGACAGGGCAGTTTCAGAGTCCACACATACCTTCAGTTCCCTCCTCCTCTTCGGGGTCCTTTGACTTGCTCATGACTTTGTGATGCGCCTGCATTCCATACGTGTTCCTACGCAAAGATTTCCTCCTCTTCACGCGGGAGTACATGTCCATGTTTTCCTGCAGCAAAAAAATAAATAAACATCTAAATGAGAAATGTGGAAGAATCAATGGAGTTTGTAGCATGTGAGTTTTGACTCATCAGTGGGTTCACAGCCCACACTGAAGAGAAAGGCCAATGCTTCAGAGTAAGGCAGGATTTTAATAACCTCAATGTGGGCAATCGTTTGCTTAATGAGATGGAAAATAAGGCGGCCCAATTGTTCTGCTGTTTAATCATCAGTGTTAAAGAATAGAAAGAGTCACCAGTTCAGTGTCCGTCCACATGCGGAGGCGCTCCACTTCCCGATTCTGCCGTATGCTGCTGATGTTGTCCATCTCTTGAAGGACTGCTTCTGCCGTACTAACAAAAAACACAAGATACACATGCATTCAATAACCAAGCTTTTTAGTCTCATGAAGCAATAGTTCATAAACGGGTTTACTAAGTTTAACCCCATGAAGCCTCAAGCCTTGTCATATTTGATACGCAAAACTATAAAGCCTCTAAATTATCAACATGATCAAAACTTTAATGAAATACCTGTTGTACACAACTGTACACATGCCTTCTGTCCTTTGATTGATAGGCTATACTATAATAGCATTTTAGACCTTTTAGTATAGTAGGTTTTCCTATTAAATCTTACGTAAGAACTTTTATATTGTTAGTAATATTTTAAGATGCAACTAGGGTTTACTTGTCTATCCATAAATACTTTTTTTTTTTTGTTAAAATGTGAGTAACAAATATGATCCATCAGGCTTTTGAGGAATGTTTACTTGTCCATCTCTCAATCATCACTGTACTACATTTCATTATATGCTTGCCCCCCAAAATAAAATCTACAAAACTATAATAATAATAAAACTAAACATTTAAATATCATCTTACTAAAACATATTATTGGAAGATATAGAGTGACAACTAATATTTATAAGCATTTTATATACTGTTATAAAGATCTCACTGGCTACAATAAACAGTCCCTCCAGGATTTCGTGGGACTTTTTTCTGATTTTTGCGGCCTAAATTGACTGATTTTGCTGCGGCTTTTCTCAAAATTTGCGGTGATATTTGTGGCATTTCTTATTGTTTTGCAGTGAAAATATACCACAGACAATATTCTTCTAACATTGTTTTGACTTTTCTGACTTCGAGAACCATCGTAGAGCTCCAGCACTAGTGCCATTAAGTTCTACAGAAGGTGGCACCAGCAGCTGACAGTAAAGCACTCACCCTAATCGCACATGTACATCTCGGAGATGTATATTTGATGTCTGCATTTACATATGCAAGATATATTTTTTAGAGTGTTTGCTCATCTGCAATACGTTTTTAAGACGTTTATCAGATTACACAGTAGATGTTTCCCAGATCTTTAGC